AGATGCCTTCCCCTTCACTGGCAAATATTTCAATCTACCGAAAAGGATCCTCTAGTTAACCCACGTGCCAGTATTATAGTCACCAATACCAAATGGTCCCCTACAATTATATTAAGCCATAGAGATGTGATGACGATAAGTATTAACTGTAAATCAGAACAGCTATTAATTACTTCCATTTACTGCTCACCACGAGAGGATATGGGGCCGAATCTCCACACATTAGAAAATATCTTTAGTAATCTCAGAAGATCACAGCACGTGATTACAGGTGACTTCAATGCTCACCATCAAATGTGGCATTACAATAATACAGATAATAGAGGACATACACTAGCTGACTTTATTGCTACACACAATCTGTATATACATAACCTCTCTTCAGACACTCCTACATTTGAAACAACAAATGGTAAAGGATGGCCGGACTTGACACTGTCAACATTGAGTATCTCCAATAAAATACAAGAATGGAAAGTTCTTGATGATCCAAGCCACTCAGATCATAACTACATCTCATTTGAATTATCAGAAGAAATCCCCGACCTCAAATTAAGAAGATTTTCAATCTCAAAGCAAAAAGCAAGGCAATTTGGAAGAAAAATCTCCACATGTCTTCAGTATGCGGAGAAACTTATAGATAAATGCACATCACCCGATGCAGTCCATGATTTAATGGAAACAATTATCAAAACAATACAGGAGACAGCGACCAACACATTTAAACTCCGTAACAACAACAAGATTACGAAGACTAACTGGTGGACAAAGGAATTAAGACGTGAAAAGCAACATACAAGGGCCCTTCGTAGAAAAATGAAAAGTGCTCCGGAAGGGTTGAAAATGGAAATATGGATAAAATACAAGCAACAATTAGCAAATTACAAAAAGAAAATAACTGAAGCAAAATTACGCAGCTGGAAGAATTACTGCTGTAGTAATAAAGATACATACGGCCAGCTGTATAAAATGGCTACAAGTAAAGTTTTTAGTCCCGCACATATCGGTCTTTCGAGAGATCAACTCTCACGTAACAGCCAGCTTGGTAATGTCACTGAAAAGATTCTCAACAATATTCTAGATGTTGTTTTCCTAAAAGATAATGCAGAAGACGATGGCCACTCACATTCCGACATTAGATACAATAATACCGCTCCAAATACTCCAGACGATGTGGAATTCCACTCACAAGAAATTTCAAAAATTATTAAGTATCTTCCGAATAATAAAGCTCCGGGACCTGACGGATTAGACAACAGGATTATTAAGATAATTCACCACGCAATGCCTTTTCTGTTCCACAAACTACTAAACCTCTGCCTCAAATTTTATGTCTTCCCGAATTGTCTCAAACAGGGACAAACAATACTATTCAAGAAAAATAATAAAGATCCTACGGATCCGGAAGCCTTCAGACCAATCAACCTCTTACCTGCAATAGGTAAACTTCTGGAACGTGCAATCGCGGGCAGATTACGCCACCACTTAGAGAAAAACGAAACCATAAGCCCCAACCAATACGGCTTCAGACCTCTCAAATCTACATCACATGCGATAGTAGAACTTCAAGAGCAGATCCGTAGGAATAAATCTTCAGCTCTCCATACAGCAGTACTCTGCATGGATCTCAAAAATGCGTTTGACTCCGTGTGGTGGCCTGGTATCCTTGAAGCCTTGCGCAACATTAAATGCCCTCAGAACATATTCAAGCTAATGAATAGTTTCCTAACAAACAGAGCAACGATAATCATCAGCAACAACTGTATAGTAGAAAGAAGAATAAACGAGGGGCTGTCCACAGGGCTCTTGTCTAAGTGCAGACCTGTGGAACATCACCTTCAATTATATCACCTCCTACAAGTGGCCGGACCATACAAAGCTCATCGCCTTTGCCGACGATGTGGCCTTTGTAACAAATGGGCATTCAAGAGACATACTAGAAAAGAATAGTAACGAGACTCTCTCCATATTCCATTCCCTCTGCGTCAATCAAAAACTAATAATTTCAGAGCCCAAATCACATATTATTTTATTTCCAAAACCGGGCAAATCGCTACAAAGGCTACCTTGCATTAAAATCAATAATAGAAGAATCAAGATCTCAAAAGAAATCAAATTCCTTCGGATTGAAAATTGACCAAAAGTTTTCTTGGATCCCACACCTCATGGAAATTCGGAAGAAGACCCAAACTATTTCTAGAGCCCTCGCAAGGATGCAAGGCACAACGTGGGGCCTCAAGTCGAGGATGCAAAACATCTCTATAATACCGTGATCGAAAAAATAATCCTCTACGGGGCATCAGCATGGACTCACCCTATGACAGTGAAAAAGAAAAGACTCTTAGCTTCGATCCAACGCCCCTTCCTCTTACAAATAGCAAAAGCATACAGAACTACCTCAACGGCAGCTCTCTGTGTATTAACAGGAATCCCACCCCTCCACCTGAAAGCAAAAGAAGATGCAGACTTAGCCACGTTATTCCACCTCAAGAAAAACATAGAGGTAGAAGATCAAAACCTGTGCCCCCTTGATTTTGAACAGCCACGAAATCCTTACCTAAGACACCCTGCAGTACATGCAAAACTCAGAATATCTACAAAAGAAGACACCCTCAGTGTACCTTCATTTCCAGTCGTGTACACAGATGGGTCAAAGTTAAACGAAGAAGTAGAAGAAGTAGGATGCGCGTTCTTTGCACTCCTCTCAGAACAAGAAACAACAGAATGGAAAGGACACCTAAGGAACAACAACAGCGTTTTCCAAGCTGAGCTTTCAGCCATAAAACACGCTATTCTATGGTCTCATCAAAAGCATCTAACATATGTTACCATCTACAGTGATAGCCAAGCGGCAATTAAAGCTGTCAATGATGCAAGAAACAAATCATCAATAGTGCAAGATATCTACGATTTATTATCACAGCGCAAGAGAACATCTATAAAAATAAAGTGGGTAAAAGCGCATGCTGGACAAGCCCAAAATGAAAGGGCAGATGCGCTTGCTAAAAATGCAGCTCAAGACCCATCTCTACCTCCAATCAATGTCCCATTCCCTAAATCGTATGTGAAACATATGTTGAAAAAAATTACATTAAAAAAATGGCAAACTGAATGGGAAAATGCAGAAGTAGGTAGAAGGCTTTTCAACTTCTACAAGAAACCCACATATGATCCAATCTCTTATAACTTCTTCATCAACATATTCTTATCTGGACATGGTCCTTTCCCCACGTACTACTTTGCACGAAATTTGAGCGAATCAGACAAGTGCGTATGTGGGGAAAAGGGAGACCCAGAGCACTATATTTTCAAGTGCCAGCTCACAAAAGAGCTACACTGCAAAGGAAGGTCACAAATTACGCCTGAGTACATTAAATGCATGCTAACGATACCTCAATTTACAACAAAAGGTTTCCTTGATTATGAAGAAACTTTTTGCATATAAAAGAGAAGACATATGTCAAGATGCTATCGCATCTGTATAAATACCTCTTATTCTACAACTTGCAAAAATAATGCAAGATTTCAGAAATATTGCAAGTGTCTGAAACAGGCTAAATATGGTATAAATAGTTTTTATAAAATAGTTACATTAAGAATTTGGACTGTATTAGTGTAATAATTAAATCATTAATTAAAAATAATGTAAATAATATACGACTCTATTAGATATATTAGTGTAAATGTAAGTATTATGTGATTTTCTAATGTATATTTTCTGTATTTATGATACATTAATTTACAAAAATAATAATGTAAGACTTCAGTGCTGATGCATTTGTGTGTAACAAGTTAAAAAAATGAAAGGAAAGGAAATGTATTAATAAGAGAATTCGCCTTAGTTAGTAATTCAACTAAGTATGATAAAATGAAAAAAAAAAAAAAAAAATCTTCAATTAGCTCCTTAAAATGATGTTTATTTTAATTCGATGTAACTAGATATACTAATGTAAATATATTGTTTGTATGAAGTACAATGTACAATGAAAGTTTGTATGTATGTTCGAAGTAATTATGTTATTTCAATCTGCCATAATCCAACTTTTGTTAATAGGTTAATTTCTTTGCAATAATTGTATACTATGTCTTTGTAATTGTATATTCAATACGTAAGTCTAATATTAATGTAAAATTACTATGTAAATGTCTTGGTAGGCTAGCATCCGATGCGGGCCAACTAAAAGCCCAGCGGGGTACAGTAGTGCGGCGGAGCAACACCTGTAAAAGTCACTGACGAAGTTCTGGTGCTCCGTCCACTTTCCCTGTCCCTGTTACTAATACGGTGACGTGCGCATACCAAACTTGTAGGATGGGCACGTCCTCCCCTCCATGTAATATAGCAAACAGTACAACAAGATATAAATTTGGTTCTACTTAGATAACAAAAAAATTCTGTTAGTACTTTTAACATTAGTTTATGGCCATTATTTTTGTTAAATACTACAATTCCATTTATCACAGTCATGTACTATTATTTATAAGTTTTTATAAAATTAATTTTTACAGCACGTGAGAATACCTAATAAACGGTCATTATTTGTAAGTCATATAATATATTTAAAAACAGCATATCTTTAGTTCCGATAAACAGGAATAAATATGTAGGAATTTAATTTAATATGTGAAAAAACTTTATTAACATCAAGTGTCACCCACTACAAGTTGAAAAATGATGTATTTGAACTTGAGTGGATGAATAAAAAGCATTTTATTAACAATTGAAAATTTGAAAAAGATAGGAAGAGCTAATAGTAGGAATTTAATAATGTTAAAAAAATCATTAAAGAAACGCCTGTGGTAGAATTTTACATTCATAATTATATATTTGTACAATCTAATATTTCTTTTCTTTATGCTAACTTATGTTTAGTTCAGTTAGAAAGAGTCAGCTATTATTAACGAATTGAAACATTTAGAGCTATATACTTTCAACATATCTTTATTCTTATTTAATATGTTATTTTTCTTTTTTTTTCCGATACTTTCTCATTTCTTTTTAGGTAAAACCAGGTGAAGCTGGTCTTTTATTCCTTCCCTTTTTTTATGGATTCACAGTGTTTGTGAATGTAATCTCTGTTGTTTTAGATGGTTCGCCAGGTAAATAATGCTTTTGTTTAAAAGTCAGTATTCGATTATTTTATGTAACTTTGTGTCTATTTATGTGGATACGTTTTGGAGCATTTTTCCGTTTTCGATAAGAGAACTCGAAATTTAAAATGTAGTTGTAATTTTGGTTAAACCTGGAACTTATATATTGCGTAATTTAAAATATTTATAATATATTTTTAGATAGTCGTAAAAGCAGTTTCATTTTTGTTTAACAAGTAAATAATCTTATTGTTTTGCTTACATTAGAGATAAAAAAAGGACATCTATCAATTTTATAACAGAATCCGTCTTGTGAGGAGTTTAGTTAAAGCAAAAATTGATTAAATATATTCAATTCAGGAGTTTAATCAATTTTATCTTTTTTTATATAATGCTTGAAATTTTTCAGCGGTAATTTTTTTTTGATGAATACTTTTTCGATAAAAGGTTCTTTTTGAATACCCTTCTTAATCTGCAATATTGCTTTCTCAAGCAATAAAATTATGAATTGCCTTCTCAGCTGCAAAGACAATGATTAAATATTTTGATCATGAATAATATTTTTGAAGATAATATTGGATTTAAATATTTCCAGATAAGTGAATGAAATTAATTTCCATTCTAAGAAAGTGTTAATTCCTTAATTTCAATCTTGAGCGAAACAAACGATTAATAAATTAATATTGTTACGAATTCTGTACATAGATAAGTAGTTTTAGTGCAATATATGTGAAATTGCTGTATTTTTCTGTTAATATAACGCGAAAAAAGTATAAAGAGACAAGCTGTGCAAGAAAATAAAATAATACAGAGGCAAGTCCATTTAACATTGAGTAAATGGGTATCTCGGTAATTTGGTGAGAAATCGCCAAAAGTCGCCAAACTTGACGACTATTTGGCGACATTTTGGTCCCGTTCCCTGTATCATTGTAATAGGTATTATAATTGAGTAAATGTAAATGTAATTGATCACTATATTAGCTGTAATTGTAACTCGACCCTCATATTGCCTTCCAGTAATTTCGAGAAGCAGAAGGTACTAGAAATATTTTGGGTGAAGACCGGAGAGCGAGCATCTGCTCTCAGTTGTAGTTATTGTTGCTTCGAGTTGTTGTTCAGAGTGAGATCGAAGCACTGAGATATCTCCGGGCTAGCTTTCTCTTTAAATGCGCTTTGCATTGGGTTGTGTTTAACATTCTTACTATTTTGAACTGTAACTACTGATTGTACTCTGGTAGACTTTGAACACCTGTACGAGTACTGCTGTAAAAAATTCCAGAATTTTGAAGTGTTTCGATTAATAAAAAAATTTATTAATTAATTATTATTTTATTTATTAAAATTATTAATAAAAAAATTTTATTAACCTATCATCGGACCTGTAGGCAGACAATCTATTAGAATCCGTACTCATGCAGCAATATTATCTAAAGTAAGTCGCTATGAAACATGATTAAAATAAAATAGCTATATTTTAAGCCACTTATTAAAATATTTGAATCATTTTTATTATGATTTATATGTAGCAATTTCAATATCATATTTCAAAACATTTTGAGATCCGTTTGTCATGAAGTAAAATGTTGCTTTTGCTTCTCATCTAGCAAACAGAATGTCATATGGATTTGGATTACTTAGCTATGGCTAAGGATATCTGTGACAGAAGAAATCTGGAGATATAGATGGTGGTGGTGGGGTGTGGTGTATTTAATTACGGCAAAGCACACTAGGGCTATCTGCCTAAGGGGAGGGATGCCTTCGGGGAGGACTTTCTAAGGTTGTTTTTGTTCTAATGTTGCTTTTGCTTCTCATCTATCAAACAGAATGTCATATGGATTTGGATTACTTAGCTATGGCTAAGGATATCTGTGACAGAAGAAATCTGGAGATATAGATGGTGGTGGTGTGGTGTGGTGTATTTAATTACGGCAAAGCACATAGGGCTATCTGCCTAAGGAAGGGATGCCTTCGGGGAGGACTTTCTAAGGTTTTTTTTGTTCTAATGTTGCTTTTGCTTCTCATCTAGCAAACAGAACGTCATATGGATTTGGATTACTTAGCTATGGCTAAGGATATCTGTGACAGAAGAAATCTGGAGATATAGATGGTGGTGGTGTGGTGTGGTGTATTTAATTACGGCAAAGCACACTAGGGCTATCTGCCTAAGGGGAGGGATGCCTTCGGGGAGGACTTTCTAAGGTTGTTTTTGTTCTAATGTTGCTTTTGCTTCTCATCTATCAAACAGAATGTCATATGGATTTGGATTACTTAGCTATGGCTAAGGATATCTGTGACAGAAGAAATCTGGAGATATAGATGGTGGTGGTGTGGTGTATTTAATTACGGCAAAGCACACTAGGGCTATCTGCCTAAGGGGAAGGATGCCTTCGGGGAGGACTTTCTAAGGGAAACTGGCTCGTATACACGTTACACATGGGGAAAACCACGAAAACACCCATGCAGCCAGCCCGTTCGCGGGATTCGAACCTCAGACCGAACTACCAGTGTTCAGCGACTTTACCACTCGGCCGCTGGTGGGGAGATATAGATGGATATCTGGATGTATATATGAAAGAGATAACTCTGTTGGGCATTCTTAAGAAAGCTCTTTCATATTCACATTACGCATGGGGAAATCACGAAGACGCCCATGCAGACAGCCTCTTTAATAGAATTCAAAATTAGATCGAACTACCAGTATTCGGTAGTCTTATCCGTTCTGCCATTTGTAGGCTCGGAATATCATAACAGGTTCTTTTAAGGCACAGCTATCTCCCATTTGTTCTAAACGAGTCTTTCAAAATAATAAAAAAAGGAATTATAATTTGATTTTTTTCAGTGAAAACATAAATCAAATGTACCAAAAACATTAAAAAATAGAAACGTATGAATAATTTCATTCGATTTATGTTTTCTAGTTCTGGGTTTGGACCGTCTACCATCATGGATTGCAGTAATCATATCTGTTGTCATTGCTGTTACAGTTGCCATAGTTATTCGTTTCTACGTAGTGCCTAAAGAAAGGAAAAGAGGTAATTTTTAAACTGCTTTAAATAGCATTTTAAGAGGTAACTCTTTTACGAATGTCCCGCACTATTAGCCATAAGCACAAAACCAAGCTATTCAAGCAAGTTATTTTAATTCGACACTGAATAAAGTTTTTACTTTGCGATAAAGCAACGGTAATATTACACAAAATTTAATTTTTAAGGTTGTAAACTGACAGCGAAACGAAAATAACTGGAACTGAAATGCAATGAAAATCATTCTAAAATAAAATTTGAAGCATATTTTTTCTACGTTGCTTCAAAAATGTGTCAGTACACCACAGCATGCGAAAGTCTGATTTGATGCTAAATTTTAAAATATAATATTGACAAACTTGGAGTATTTACCGTATATTCCGGCATATAACGCATATTTTTAATACAAAAAATAAAATTGAAATTTACGGGTGCGCGTTATACGCAGGGTATAAAAACGATAGATTTAGAAATAAGGAAAAAATGAGGACGCAAAAATTAGACTTCTACGTTGTATCTTCAGTCGAATTCCGCCTCATCTTTACCATCACTGTTACAATGATCCATAAATAAACAATTATCTTCTATTCCGTCTATACTGTTAGATATAATACATTTTTAAATGACTTTTGAACTATGTAGAGATTAATTTCATTTTATGCTTTTATTATAAATTCACACACTATTTCTAGACTGGCGTGAAGTATTTGGAAAAAGGATGCGCGTTATACGATGAATATACTTAAAAATTAAAACATATAGTTCAAAATTATAGATGCGCGTTATACGCCGGAATATACGATATCTAATAATAACAATTCTCTGATGTTTAATTAAAAAACATCAAAAGACGATATATTAAGATAAGATTCCTGATATTTCTGTTTTTTGAGAGTTAGCTGATTTGCAAGTAATTTTAAAATTTTTGTACAACTATGAAGCTTTCATGATTTAAATAAGTAATACGAAATAGTGGCAATTGTCAGAATATTATTTCCCTTTATATACTTTATAGTTTTTCTCCAGAAAAGAATTCGAAATTGCAGAAAATCTCCATGGCAAATTTCATTTGAAAAGAGATTAAAAGAACCGACAAGAAGAGAAATTAAATGAAAAATATTTTCTGTTAATGTTGGCTGGAAGTAAAAAAGTATAAAACTTTAAAAAAGAGTAATAAAGGTACACACACACACACACACACCACACAAAAAAAAAAAAAAAAAAAAAAAAAAAAAATAAGAATGTTTCAGATTTTAAAATTACGTCCAAAGGGGCGTTTTTTAACATTTTGTTGTTACCTTCTTTATTAAATATCATGTTCCTCGCACTTAAACCATAAAATCCAGTTGCAACAGCAATATCGCAAAATAATTTTAAAACGAGCATATCTTTAGAATTTCCGATACAGAGACTCTCACGCGCTGGAGATAAAAATGTTTTTTCTGCACAACGTTGCCATTGCTCGCTTTGAAATCCTTGAGTTTGTTAATCAAAAATTCGTCAAAGTTTTAAAAAATAGGAAATCGATCATAAAACAAATTTCAAATTTCAAATTTGGTCTTCCACATGCTCATATTCGTTGGAGGATTACGTTATTCAAAATTCGATGACTCTATGTACCGTTGTTTTATGACAATGCGAGAAATATACATACATTTATGCAGATTTTTCATTATTTAATTTCTTCAAATATAATGCAGGACATATTTGAAATATAATAACATTTGGTGGCAACAGTTTGAAAAGTGAAACGGGCATTTATAGTGATTCAACGCAAAATCTCAAAACGAAAACAATAGAACTTCGGGGACAAAGCCTCTTTGGACTAATAAGTAATTAGCTTGTAAAGCATTAGTATTAGCTAGACCAGAAAATCTCAGTGCAAGTTATTTTTAAGTTAGTCCATTATAAATTCGCGTGAAAGCTGATTCGCATCTCGTAAACAAATTTAAACTTTCAGCATATCAATTCAGAATAAAAATTTTAAATGTAAAGAAAAAGGCAGAAAATTTTAATGTTGAAGCACTCCTATCACATTTCGTGGTAGAACTCACTCAGAAAACATATCCGGCTATTAACAAGCAAACTTAAAGGAAACCTAATTGATTTAAGCTATATGTGTATATATTAAATATGAATTTTGCAAAATATAAATAAGGTTGTATAACTATAATACAGGTAAAGTGTGCCCCATAAAATTTCAAATGACCTCACAGGAAGAAACCACATGGGGTCAAATCACAAGATCTGGATGGCCAATTCACGCCACGGATGGGAAAAATCAGCCGGCCAGAGAGAGCCTCTTTTGTAACAAGTCCATTATTTCAGACGATAGGTTGCGCTATCTTGTTGAAACCGTACTTCTTCAGCATTCATACTAACTAGTTCAGACCACAAAAACTATCTTAACATATTACGGTTCATTCTCCCATTCATTGTGAATGCATTTCCGGCGCCATCTTCAAAGAAGTATGGACAGTTACGGCTGATGTACATGCAATCTATATGACAGAGTTCGCTACTGTAGAAACATTCGTCTCCGCTTTGTGGGATTTATATACATACAAATAAACTTTTGATTACTAAAGATTACTAATTAAAATGAAGACTAATTATGCATACTTGTTGATTTTTTCCTATTTTTCAGCCGAAGCAACGCGACCTGAGAATGAAATACCTTTAGAAAATCCGATCTCATCGGTGGATAATTTCGAGGCAAGTCAGTTTTAAATTAAAATTTATCAAGAATATTCTCACGTAATAAATACTGCACAAATTTTATCATATTTTAAACAAGTCTTTTTCTTCCCTCCAGCTTAATGACAGCAATCCAGAAGTTGCAAAACTTTTTAAAAGTCTTCAAGTCATGACAGCGATTTTTGGCTCCTTCGCTCACGGTGGCAACGACGTTAGGTGAATTTAAAATTCTCTTCGTAAAGTTTAAATTCTTTTTGCCTTAAAATGAAATTTTAGCTAGAATATAATTTTCAGCAATGCTATTGCACCATTAGTCAGCCTTTGGTTGATATACTCCAAAAATGTAGATGGAAATACACCTGCCTGGCTTCTCATTTACGGCGGAATCGGCATTAGTGCAGGCTTATGGGCTATGGGAAGAAAAGTTATTCAAACTATGGGCCAAGATCTCACGAAAATTACGCCAACGAGGTAAGTAATATTTACATATGGTCATTGACATATCGTATGCAAAGTATATTGCAATTTTTTTAATCAGGTATTGCTAGAGCTATTCAGTAGGTTGACTAACAATAGCTGAGAATTTTTTATGCACATGGTGCTACTTCTAAAACTGAGATTCCAGAACAGCATGCAAACGTAATAGAAGTAAAATTTTAATTAACTTAAATGGCGGAGACTGTGTAATCGTTCATTCAGCACTGTATCGCTGTGTTTGTGAGTTAGCGCTTCAGGTGCTAAGTTCCGTTTCCTAAAGGTAATTTATTTATATAAATCAAAATCTTCAGTTGCATTTTGCAGAAAATCCTTACAGATAATTTTAATATCCCTCAAAAACACAGTTAAGGAAAAAACTGCAAGTTATGCGTAAAGTAAAAATTGACAAGGGCTCTAAATGCACACTTGTGAGTGCTACACACAATGCTGAATGAGCTAGGAATCCAGGGAGTGAGGGCTATATTAGGAGCATTGCCGTTTCAGCTAAGTACAAACGTTATTTTTTGATTCTTCATTACAATTTCTCAAGAAATTCTCCGGTTATATGCCCGATTTGGCTTTTGTACAAAGGAAATTTAAGTGCTGTGCTTTTTTGTTTGTTAATTTCTTAAGTTCCTTCGTAATTTTTTTGGTACCATTTGAGCTAGCCTAACATTTCTTTAATTCCAGACTATGTCTATAAAGTATTTCTCCAGCCTTCGTAGTGCAGTGGAAAGCACGCTCGGCGCGTATTCGAGAGGTCCGTGAATCGAGTCCCGGCGAGAACATTGCTCATTTTTCATCTCTCTCTTGCTTCGAAATAACCTAATGTCTCTACAGTGGCGCCCGAACTAGAAAAAGGTGGTGGATTATGATTCTCCACCCCCAGAATTTGGCGATTGGATCCCCTAATCCCCAGACGCCCTTTAAAAGGGGGGAGTATATAAGGTATTTCTCCCGCCTTCTTAGCATGCCTTCGTGGTGTAGTGGTCAGCACACTCGATGCGTATTCGATAAGTCCGTGGTTCGAATCCCGGCAAGGGCATTATTTATTTTTCATCTTTCCTGCTTCGAAATAACCTAATGTCTCCACACATTTTCCGTTTTCCCCGCAATAGTGGCATTGTAACAGCTTTCGACTGTCTTTCTAGGTTCGATTTCTTCTATTTTTCTGCTTTCAAGCACCGGAAAATAGCCTGTCTTCCTGATCCATTCCATTTTCTTTTGTTTCATAATATTTTTGGAATAATTCAGGCATCAAGATAAGCTGACGAGTGCAATCCTCCATCGCAATAAATGCATTTAGATTTTTCATCCATTTCACGCTCATATTCAAAGGAAAAAGGGTTTTAAGACATTTTTAGAGAGCGCTGCGGATTGTAACATCTGACTTGATTGTATACATATCTTTGACACCTGTACCGCAATGCAGGCAGAGGTTTTAAACTGTTCAGTCTAATCTTAATAGGAACCGTTTGTGTTAAGTTCTAAAAGGCATTTCCTTCCTTCGTCTTATGTAGCTCGACGAAGTAAAATCTCAGTTTTTCGAGAATAACACTGGAGTAAATTTTAGTAGCGAGGTAGTTCCTGCATTAAAGTTCTAAAATGTCCGTCTCAGTTGTATTTCTGGCCAGTCCTTTGATAATTGCTTTGAGTTTTAAGTTGATAAGTTGACATCTACCTTGTAAGCAATATATATTGTAATAATGTAAGGAATTTTTTCCTTCCTCACCTTGTGCCTTCGGGGTGTAAAGATCGAAAACGTAATTCTTATAAGAATTTAGAGACGGCGAGACCATGCATGTAGAAAACTTCTCTTCTTCCCTACGTATAATTAAGAAAATAAACTTCCACTATTTATTCTGTCCAAGACTGAGGTAAACTGAAAAAACATCTTAACCATGAAGGTACCACGCATGGCTTACATCACGTGTCTTATATCCTGAAGGTATCATTTCCGGCTAGTACTGCGAATTTCGGCCTAATGCATCGCTGATTTTCTGTGGTTCTTGCTTCGCAAAATCTTAACAGACTTTATAGAGGCGCCTGATTAAAAATGCGGTGAATAATAATTTGTCACCGCCTGGAGTTTGGCGACTAGGTCTCCTCATTAAGAGGAGGATGATGTAAGGAATTTTCGTCTTCATCGCGTGCCTTCGTGGTGGATCTGGTAGTACGTCGGGTTAGCATTGGAGGTCCGGAGTTCAAATTCTGGCGAGGTCATCGCTTTTCGTGTTTTATGCTTCGGAAACTACTAATAGATTATACAGGAGAACACTCAAAGATGCACGTAAAGGTCAGAGAAAATTAGGAGTGAATAATGAAGGACGACAAAGAGAGAAGAGCAACGATCACATTCATATGAACGCGAAAAATCTGTGAAAATGCGAAAATGAACGTAATACTATCTCTCGAGGAAAATCTTAGTGAGGCGTCGAAAGCTAAAATAATAGCTTAAAACCATTCGGAATAATTGAATTAAAATTAATGTCATTAGCTGAAAAAGATAAATCGTTGTAATCCTGAAAGGCTTCGAGGAAATTTAATTCATCAACTGATAAAACTTTCCGGATAATTTCGCAAAACCAAAGTCACAACTGGAGTTATGTGACCAACTATAATTAGCTATCAAATTTTTGTTTATTTCTCCTTTTCGCACATAGCATTCGTGTTATTTAATAGGAACTTCTAACGTTCGTTTAGTTTAGTCAATATGTATCAAACCACACTGATAAGAAATGCATTAAGTTTCCCAAGAATGAAAATCAGTGATGAGATCTTTAAGATCTGAGTAATGAACTTTACTGATAGATGTGAAAATTTTTGGACGTTTAATTTTTGTACTTAGTAACTGAAAATATGATAAAGCGGGATAGCAACAAAGTTATTGAGGTTATTTGTAATAATAGAATATCTTTTAGGATGACAAGAGGAAACTTTTTATGGGCTCTGTCAACGACCGTGGAAGAAAACGATCAAAGAATGACACTCGATTTCAAATAGTGATGTTCCTGAGGGAAAAAAAATTCTGAAGAAGAAGTCTTGACATCAGGGTATATATAAAGTTATAAAGAAACTATTTTTTGCTTAACAGGGTGACATAATTTGCTTGGGTAGGTAAGCAGAAAGAAAACGTTTTGCGGCAAACCGCAGTGCCTAAGTCAGGTTTATTATTACAGACGATTAGAATGCCAGGTAGACAAAGGGAATTATTTGATTCAGTTTCAAAAGCAAACTTGTAGAGCCATAAGATTTCCGGAACCAGAAACGTAAAAAATCAGCTATAGCCCAACAGGAATTGGAAACACGGATCTTCCTTTTGCTATACGGACGTGCTATCAGTTCAACAACAAGAGCACGCACAAGGAAAGTAATAATTCCTTATAGTCTCCCGTTCTAAGGCGACTGGAGAGATTGGAATGAGACCCAATCAGCCAAATCCATATCGAGACGAATTATTGTATACCCCATGTATAAAGCTGTGAGCCATTTTAGAAATTTCGGAGCGAGATAAACAAGAAAAATCAGCAATGCTCAGACGGAAATTCGAGCCATGAAGCTTCTGATAACCACGTGCTATGTGATCTTTGAATATTTTATTCAGAATAGCGTCTAAAGGTGGGAGTATCGAAGTTAAAGCACCCGGAATAACAGCAGTCTTAGCATTATTCTGTGCGGAGCGATTTTTAGTGTTTTCAGTTACGTAACTGCGAAACATATTCCCCGCCAACAAACTGTGTTGATTTCGTAGATTCGTGATTCCTGTTGACCTCTGTCACACATTTTCCTACATCATTGTCTTTCATTCACTCCTTTCCATGAAAATATACGAAAATGCCTGGTGGGAATTTTATTTTAGAAGTAATTTTCCTCTTGAAAGTGACTATGGGTTTTAACTTTGTTCCCTCTGCCATGTAGGTTAATACTAGTACCGTAAACCTGATCTTTTCATAGCCTGTATTTCTGACTTGAACAGTTTTTAAGCCTATTGTTTCTAATGTTTATCAAGTCCAAATTTCCAATCTTAGGTAACGCAAAGTTGTATTTTTGCTTTATACCAATAACTCATACCAATATGGTCAAGATCTTGTAGTAATTTCTGCGCAATTTTTATTTTGTGTCGTATTAACGGATTTTTTTCCTATTCATAAAACAATCACACCAACCTCCTGTTGCTTTCATTTCTTTATCTTATTCTGGGTTGGCACGTGTCCAATTCAATTCATAAACCCAAATCATATATCTTGCAGCAACATAACAATTTTGCCTCTGTTCTTGTACCCATTCTGCAACGTTATTTTCGAAATCTGGGCAGCAAGCTATTCCTCGCCTTATAGAACATTTTTATTTGTTATTTTTTTAATCGCATCTTCCCTTTCCCTACAATCTCTTATCACTTTTCTGTTATATCGAAAGTCCTTGCTGCATTATAGTTGTTAGTAAATTCTTTAGCCTGTTTTATGACTTTTAACTTGAAGTTTGCTTCGTATTTCCATCCTTTTCGTTGGCTCCATAATTAGGCCCACACTTTGCAAAATTTACGTTGATTACACTTATAGTACAAATTGTTTGAACACATGATACTACCTGCAACGCAACTTGTTAGGGGTACATGTGAGTTCGTGATTCAGCACATGCTAGTGATACAGTTCGTGTAGAGCTGCCAGATGCAGCAAAGCAAGCTTGTTAGACTATGAGTTCGTGATTCGGCACTTATTTCTATAGGCAGTGCTGCCAGATTCAAGAAAATAAACATTTTCCCAGATGATGATCGCTGATCTACATTTAAACTCATAGGCAGTTTGGCGGTCGTCTTAAGGACAGGTATATGCTAAAACTATAACACTTTGACAAAAATTTATTCCTTGTCCTATCTTCGGAAATATATGATAGTTTTTTTCCAAAGCTTTCAGAATTGTAATAATTTAACTTTTGAATGTTTTATTTTGTTTTCGTCAACAAATGATAGAACGTTTGTTTTCGCTTATGTCGAGTTATTGATTTCCAGGTAAATATGACTGCTACTACTCCCAACTTGCAAAAAACTTTTACCGTTGAAGACTGATCACTCTCAATATCAGTAGAATTTTATTTAAAAATCTACGTCAATCTTAGGTTGCCCTTTTTTTTTTTTCATAATTTTAAATAAAGCGGAATCCTCGAAATTTTCATGCAACAGATCTTACATCTTCAGTCGAAAGTTAACGCTGTTTCTTTACTCAACAACAAACTTATTGGATTCAGTTCTAGTTTCAGAGCACCTTTAGTCTTTACGTCTCTGTGTACCATTTCTTCATTCAAGTGATTTCTGTAGTCGGTTGTCTAATCGTATCTCTATCTTATGTTGTGTAATAAAACACAGATAAACAAATTAAAAGACAGTCTTCAGATACCGAAGAAGTTCGAGCGAAGATTTGTTCGCAGTAGTAAAGTAAGCAGTATTAAGTAAATTTTGTTCGCAGACTTGATTTCTGTATGAATGAAGGCGTGTGTATGTGAGTAAGTATGAATTGTAACGTAAGGCATTTCATTTCTGTCCATTTATTTGTTTAATTGCTCTGTGTATAAAATATGTTTTATACGAAAGAATTAACAATGTCCTCTCGAAATTGTGGAACAGAAACTTTCCCGTTCTCTAACATGCTTATAAGATTAATTAACTTTTTCAACTGCTATTTCTAAGAAATAAATATTTTCCAACAAATTATACATTTATTGAGATATGCAGGATTTTCGCATTTGTTACTTTATGCTCGGGCATTAAAATGGTTATGGGCGATAGCATAGGTTAAATTTTACGGGCACACTTTTATGGAGATATGCAGGTTTTTTGCATTTATTATTTTATAAGGCATTTCTATCGCCTTCTTGCCATGCCTTCGTGGTGTGGTGGTCTACACGCTGGGTGCGTATTCCAGAGGTCCCAGGTTCGATTCCCGGCGAAGGCGTTTGCTCCTTTTTCATCTTGCCTGCTTCCTAAAAAATACCTAATGTCTCCACAACATATAGGATAAATGTTGGATACAAGCAATCCGTGTTTATACAGATTGAGAAGTTTAAGACAAATTCTTTTACTAAGAGTTAGATGATTCTACCGACCCTATATTTTCTTTCTTTTTCAAAGTAGAATCCTTCTGATTGAATTACACTTTTTTCCATGAACTATTCAAAACATGAAATGGGGGGAGGGTACATAGTACAATGGTTTCTCAAACTGTGATACATGTACTACCACTAATGGTAGTACATTACATTATTTTGGTGGTACAGTTTTCACATTTGACTTTGTCGAATAACGCGAAGAATAAAAGAAAGTTCAGGTCAGCAAACACCAATCGAAATCATAGAGCGAAAGCAAACATATATTGTGATTCAGTTCGATAAAAATACAGCCGTAGACACTTTGCGCAGCTTATAGCTTATATTCGATTTGAAAGAGAAGTCATAGATAAAAAATTCTTATTCTGGGAGCTTGTTCCAAATCCCGCCACTGCAGATGACATTATCTCTGGCCATGAAATAAACTGGAAAAGTATTTTAGGAATGTGTGCTGATACTGCCCGTTCAATAACATATTGTCGCAATAACATATATATAAATTAAAGAAGTTACGAGGAAGCTATGTCCACATAGTGCTACCAAAGCAATAACCTCAGGACTAAAGACTGTTTTAGATTAATCTATGAAGGGAGTGAATTTTTCTATACATTGGGCCTTTAGTTCACTATTATTTACAATTTTAGTGTGCAATGAATACTATTTACAGTGTGCAATGAAATGAGTCATAACCGCAATAAGCTCCTTTCTCCTCCACTGAATTGCGGTAGTTGTCAAGGAAAACGTTTTAACTAGATTCTTTGATTTAAGTTCGTAAAATTTTCATTTAGGAATATAGCTGGGAAATATTTTATCCTTTGAACTTTAAAATCGTGAACCGTTTTGTTGATGAACATTAAAATGTTTTATTCTGTTATTAGAAACACACCATTTAGGATGTGTTGATTCTTAAATCGACTTCTGTAGTTGATCTTAAAATGCTTTTATAACGGTCTATATATTTTTTATTCTTATCCATTCGGTACAAAACTTTAAAAGTTTGAGTACCCCTGAAATAGACTGTTTGGTGACAGCCCTTGTGGGTGTGACCATGGCTTTTCTTCCCTTCCTCATTTGAAGAGAAACGTTTTCCGCGCAATTGTATTTTCAGCATTAAGAATGCCCCAGAATCATTTAAAACTATGTCTGGGTTGTAGAAAAATTCTACTTCATTGAATTCAGACAATGTACAGCAGCAAAACACGGTGGGGTATCGGCCCAAAACAAAAACTGATATTTTTCTTGAGCAAAATACGGCACTTCTACCTGATGGCTCCATGCAGATATGTTTTCAAGAAAATCTTAGTAATCACCGGTGAATATCTGTGAATATCTGCCTATATGTTGGCTTTGGTTACAGCCGTAACCGCAGTGCCAGAATGTGTTTTGTTGGTTATATGCATGCTATCGTATATGGAGTGATTTCACCATTGAATACTGAAGCACGGATAAGTGTTTCACCATTATACATGCATGTGGTAACATTTTAAATCGTTCGTTACCATTCTTGCCCAAAGTCTTAACACACAATTTAACTACACTCTGCCATATTTTCACAGAGGTATTTTCCATAATTGCCAAGACAAAACGTCCTAATTGTCTCCTTTCGCTGACTAAATATTAACAGTCTTGGCTGTCCAACTACAGGTGGTTCAGACGTGTATATATATGACCTTCACGAAGCACAGTATAGCAGCATTTCTCAACCGGTGGTACGCAAAGAAACAAAATATTTTTAACTATTAAATTCAAAAATCTCCTGAAGGAAAAAAAAAAAAAAACAGTTGACAAAAATTTCCTGTGATCGAACTCTAACTTTGTGTGCAATTTCAAAAATAACACACAAGCTAACTTTTGACTGAACCGAGAAAAAAAAAAAAAAAAAAAAAATTTAAAGGCGTCTTAAATAAAGCTATTAAATTTTTATTGCCTTTTTGCACAACCTATTTGTGTGAACAAGGATTTTCTTCCATGTTATGTTTGAAAAACAAATACGGAACAAAATTAAAGTGGATCCTAATTTACGGTTAAAGCTAAGTGAAATAAGGCCAGACATAAAGAAATTGATTTCTCTTAAACAGACCCAAATTTCACACTAAATTTTAGAATTTGAGCATTATAACTTATATTTTGATAATTAAAATGGTAACCAATTTTTAATCTAACATTTTGTATGTGTGCATTTTTAATACAAATAGCCAATAAGTTGTACAAATGGCAAAAAATATATATTTTTAAATATTTCTATTGAGAATTTGAAAAATAATCATTGTAAAATATAGCGGTGGTATTAAGGTTTTTCAATTTTTGTTTAGATGGTACGCGTTAGTCAAAAGGTTGAGAACCGCTGCAGTATACGATTATCACATCCAAGTAGCGCGAAAGAGGTACAGATGGCAATCTGAAAACTGTTCATCCAGCTCTTGAACAAGTTTAATGTGGATGTATAAATGCCTGACTTCTGCAAATATATCCTAGACCAGTTAAGCATTATTAGCTTATTTATGTAACTGCAGCATAATCCCTACAATGTGCGCAAGATTGTTTTTAAATTATCTTATACGTTAAAATTTTCGTAGATGTTCCTATTAATGTATTCTAAAAGAAAATTCATTTCTCACAATGTGCTTACTGTTAAAAAAATTATATATTAAATAAAAATTTGCTTACTGCAATAATAAACAAAGAAAAAAAATTAAAAAGTAAAAAAAGTGAGGGTTTTTTTTTAATTTTTAAAAATTTTTTTTAATTTATTTTTTTGTTAACTAGCCCAAAAGGGCTATCATTCTCAAGCACGATTTTGCACTGATTCTCTTGAAATGTCGTCCATTGTAAATGCCTCGTTTCAATGAGTCTGCTGCCACTCGGCAAAATATAAGATATTTATCTTTCATATACAATCTGTCTGTTCCTGATTAATAAATTAAGCTGTTTAAAAGCAATATATGAAGTTATGATATACCTAATTAAAAACATCAAGTGTTTTTACAGAATTACGTTATATATGTTTTCCCTTTTCAAATATGCAGATGATACGTAACGTTCCCATATTAATTTAAATGTTTTTCCATCTACTATTATATAAAATATTTCGTTATTCCACCTGGTTCATCTCTCTTGATAATGTCTATTGATAAACCATATTAAACCTGAAAAGAGTCCCTTCATGGTCTCCTTTAAATCTGAACCCTGACCTTTTCTCTTTTTCTTAATTATTGTTATTACTATTATTTTTCAGTGGATTCACAATTGAAATTGGATCTGCAACTACAGTTTTAATGGCATCAAAAATAGGCCTTCCAATAAGCACAACACACTGCAAAGTAGGTTCCGTGGTATTTGTAGGATTTGTTCGAGCTCGCAGCACTAAAGAAGTGGATTTGAAATTATTTAGGAACATAGTACTTGCCTGGCTTGTGACACTTCCCTTTACTGCTCTACTTTCTGCTTTTGTAATTTTAATTCTGTATACAACGACAGTTCCATGAAAATTTGAGTAATTATTCATTTCTATTTATGTCTTAACTATATCACATGTACAACATAAAAAATCAGTGCTGTTTTATTGAAGAAAGTCTATCAATGAGTTCATTCAAATTTCAAGTTTATTTCCTTTTTACGAGCAAAAATACAAGTAAGGCATGCCAGCATAACATTAACAACAAAATAATGATTATCAAATATCATGTAACAGGAAAACATTAATAAAGAAACATTAATTCTTTCTCTTGCATTAATATATATATATATATATATATATATATATAGTAAAGTGAGCACAGATGTTTAGCAATGCACGATAAGCTGTTGAACATAAAACTTTTTTTTATTAACCATCGAAAAAACGAATGGGCTCAATATAACAATACACATATTTTATATGAATTACGAGATAGTTTCAAAAAGGAAAAATTTACTAAATTATTGGAAGTATTACAGGAGAAAAACGAGGGTGGAAGTTTGTAAAAAAAGTTTGAAACTCAGAACACTTTAGAAATTAATATATAAGACCAGTTAGTCGAGATTTTAAAATTTACTAGTAATTTTACAAAATACACGTAATACAAATACATGACAATACATTTGCAATAAACAATTAATAAAAACACATATAAATAAGTTGAGTTTATGACTCAGATAGAAATATTGTAATTTTTCTCGCTGTACGAATAGTAGATAACACTTCTTCAGACACAATGATAGATAGTTACAGATCTTAAGAATAGTTAACTTTGCCAAGCACAATAATGAAGAAATTTCGATAATTGCTTTGAAACGGAAAATTCAAATAATATCATTTCATCAGTACGCCATGTTATAACAAGCTTATACATTAAAATGCGACATAGAATGCAACGCACTGCTTCAAAACATGTAAATTAAAATGGGACAGGTATGCCACAGATTTTTCAGGGCGCTCACATCTTTTAACACAGTGAGATTAAAAGATTTAATAAATGTGTTATAAATACTGTCATTAAAGTATACGGCCTGAAAGTCTAGTAAAATAATAAGTCCGAATGTGTGATTACCTGTATGCACACCCATATACATAAGTATGCATGTACATACGCGCGCACACACACTATATACACATATATCCATTTAAACGAAAACTTCACATTTGATTCACACAGTGAATACTCGAGACTTTCTACATAACAACAAAAAAAGCTTGCAATAAAACTAAAAACGTATATTTATGCATTAAGAAAAACACTCATTTATTTAATTTAAGCACAAACAAATATTGCACAACATACAAATTAGCACTTAATTCTTTCACTTGGATATGTACTTTACAGAAGAATGGATCTGAAAAAGGATTTAAGCGTTCAGATGCTGCAACAAAATAGTATAACATGTCTTTAAAAACAAAGATATTATTCTAAAAAAAATAAATGTGGATAAAATTTCATCAACTCAATAATTTTGTCTGAATTTTAACGTTTGTGATTGTGAGATATGATTTTTAGTGAGTACAATGAAGTTTAATACTGAAATTTAGTTCTTTTGATCAAATAACACGGGCTCATAAATTTTTATTTAACCACAAGCTTTATGTAAGCTTGTAACCTTTTGAATGTTTATGAAATTCAGAATCATTGCAAACCCACATTTGCTGGTGGATGAGGGAGCAGAATATGAAAAGCTAATTGATTCTTTAAGCAGATTCATGTTAATGGGGGAAATTCTTGAACTTTACATACGATATATTTGCAAGCATACAACTGCGTTTCATTATTTAAAAATAATAATAGACATTAACGTCCACAAAAAGAATTTTAAAACTTTCTGAATAAAGAACTGGCAACACAGAACATAGTATGTTATATTAAACAAAAATACATATTCGCAGGAGCCGCCCTTCTGCCTTATATCATGGTTCATTTGAAATATTATATCCGCAAGACGTAAATATTTGTAATTTATTTCTGCAACAAGAATCTATGATTTTTACAAAATTAAGCATATGTTTCCGACATTTAGCACAAGCACTCAAATCAATTGATTTCACTTATAATTATTCATTTTATTCCACATACATCCCATGGAACCCTTTTCCCAATTTATGGTGCTTGCTTTTATGCGTAAAATTACAACATTCTCGAAAGGTCCTGAGCACCGATCTCACCGATCTTAACGCCTGCGTTAAGATCGGTGAGACATATTAATCATTTTCACTTTTTTCATGTGAGTGATTAATGCATACTTAAAATTTTTTCTCAAAGGGGGGGGGAAGATACACACATCTGATCATATATGAAAAGAATTAAATTAAATATACTATTCATGATTTGCCGTTCAGTAAGCTTAAGATCTACACATATGAACAGCTGTTCTTCAATTGAAAAAAAAAAAAAAAAAAAAAAATTAACAATGCTATATAACTCACCCAAATCCAGTGTTTCTCTTTCCTAATTAACTTTAATATTTTATAGTAGGCGAAAGAAACAAACTTGTGTTGTTAGAATTAATTTATTTTCGTTTTTTGTGGTTTAGTGCAATCAAAGCACAGCTGCAAATTCCTTTCACCAAGTCTTTGAGAAAAGGTATTTCTCCTTGCATCAGAATTTTGAAGCAGCCACAGCTACGAAGCACCGGTAGTTAGTATTGGATTCAGTCTTGGCGAATGAAGTTCTTTGCATGGCCTTTTTGTAGGTTTTCCCTTCGTGCAATGTAAATACGAGCCAGTTTCTCTTAGGGGATACTTCAGAAAGGTATATTCCTCTCCTTAGGCAAATATTCCTTGAGTGTTTGTCACAATAAACTAGTTTTAATCCCTAAGCCATACATCCCTTTTGTGCTCTACCATATTTAATTCAACTTAAAAGAAAAAAATGCTAGAAATGTTTTTCCTTAAATATGAGGTAGTCTTAATGATCCTACTAATAAAGTAGGCCCAGGATGGAATGCTTTAAACTGATGAACAATTAAAATGTGAAATATAAAAATATACAAATACATTGCCATGATTTATGGCTCAGATCAATCATTGACCAAACAAATAGTTACAAAATTTAATCATAAAAAACTGTCTGCGTGGATAATACTAGAATTTCACAATGACGAGATTTCATTACGTCCATTAAAATAGAATTACTGTAAATTCATATTTTGGATGTTTTTCCATGCATGGCATAAAGTAACTAGATAAACGTCATTCATTTTAAAAATCTGGAAAAATTTTCCTTTTGACTTTTCGAGTACAATTTTGACTAAAAATTATTTCGCAGACGACAGAAATGGCAAAATGAAAATGAGAATTGGGTCACTATACAATTTTCTTTTGCCATTTCAGAAATACTATAAAGCTTTTTCAGTATTTTTGTACTTAACAGATTTACTAATAGAATCAAGAAAAAGAAATCAAATTCCACCTATTTCCAATCATCCACCCAGAACAGAGCACACGCGAAAAGAAATTTACAGTTTACAGAATTTTAATGAAACATAGATTAATGTCAAATACTATCAAGATCAAAAACAGCATTCAACTATATTTTCGATGCAATCCCGTGTAATACTCTTACTTGTGTCCATTTCAAATGCAGCAAATGTGCGAGTGAATTTTTTTCGCTAGCATATGTAATGAACCAATGCAGAAAACATTAGCCTGTATTAACTTCAGAGATCATACGCAATTAACTGGAGATCCTCCAAATTCTATGGTTAAAAAATATTTAAAACTATCAACCAGGTATATCGGTGTTAGAATTTATAATAAATATAGTACACATAGATAGTAAAACTTGTATTTAATCTGTAGATCTCAAACGTTTAGAAATACATAAGAACGTTGTTTATATATCTCTGTCATAAGCCTTTCTTAGACGTAAAATTTCCTATATCAAAAAAAAAAAAAAAAAAAAAAAAAAAAAACACCCAACTAAAAATAATGCTTAATAGCACTATTAAACTTAGCCGCATTCAGGCAAACAAACAATAATGCTAAATAATTTCAGTTTTACTGCATTGAGCTCAGCTGAAGTTTTGTTTATATGTATTTTTCTGGCTGACATTGCTACAGATTAGCCGCTATTTCTAAAAGGAAATTTTGGGCAATTTTTCTCTTCTCTTTTCGTATCAGTTCTCGGAAACGGTGTAACATGAAAGAAAAAAATGTTGATTTTCCCCATATACCATAGAGTGACGTGTAGGAATGTAAATCAATCTTTCTACTTGATTACCCGCGTTTCTTATTAATACCTGAATATTTTGGGATGAGAATGAAACCACATCGGATGATGAATAGTGTCTTGACCCACGAAAGCTCAAATCGGGAACATATGATCTGTAAAGCTGTGGTAACCTATTTCACATAAATAACACTAAGGGCTTTTGAAAATACCATTTGAATGTTTTCCATTGCTTAACAAACCTTGGTGGTTGAGCTGAATAACTATTATGCAAAATAAGCAAGTGTTTAGAATACCAATGAGAGGAAGTACCACAAGAATATGCTTAAGAGATCAAGGAAAAAGAGTATCATAAAGATCTCCCATTGTGGGTTTTTACCATGGAAAACTCTGCAGTGCAGCTAAACTAAAATCGAGCGAGAAGGAATTGGGGGGGGCAGGCATAAATATATGTGGGGGTAATCTATTAAGTGCTTAATAACCATAAAAATCTTAAACCGTCCTTCATATAGAATGAGTATGTCCATCTTTTTTGTTTCATATTTACTGACTTCCACTGGTTTTAGGTTATAAGCTTGTGCTTTATAAAGCACTGTTATAAAGTTCAAAGAAGCAATCATCTGTGATCTAACAACGAATGAATTTATTTTAGATTAATTTCTAGAGGGAAAATTGTTTCGGTTTACGAACTGCTTTCATGAAATAAATCTATGAACTGAGGTTTCATTGGATATACATATATCTGTGTAAGAAGTAAAATATGCAGTAAAACTACCTAATACAGTAAGAAAATTACAGGCTGACCGAAAATCAGTTTAAATGCGTTGCCAGTGACATAAATAATACTGAAGACTCCGCAAATGGTCAAAATATATCGGTTCTTAATTTTCGAGACTGGAACATATAAATACACGTATATTATCAATTTAAAAGTTTAAAAAATACAAAAGTGGTATAACATAATTATAAGAAGGGTCATCTTAAAATAGTTAATCGTTTTAATGGCAGCAAATTTGCACACTCTTTTAAATAAACAGTTATAATATAAATATATTAAATAACTTAAAAAATTCGTCTTAGGAAGCTTGCGTATATTACCAAAATACTTCAGTTGATATTAATCCTTAATCCGCGAATGCATAAGCATTTTCGTTCAGAAAGCTTAGTCCGAGAACCTTCACTATACTAGGACGGAAGAAAAGAAAGGTTTGGTTTATTTGATTATAGCAAAGCACACAAGGGCTAGCTGTCCAACAGGAGAGATGCCTTCGTGGAGGACATTCTAAGGGAAACCAGATCGTATACACTTTACACACGGGAAAAACCACTAAAACGCCCAGGCAACCAACCCGTTCGCCTGAAATCGTCCCCAGATAAAAAATTACCAGTGTTCAGGGACTTTAACGCTCGGCTGCTGGTGGGCCAGAAAGAGCTAGTGTGAAAGAATGACATTCCTTAAGGCATTAAAGCAGACATACATAGTATCGTTCGAAAGTTTTTTAGCAAGTTGATTCTGCAAGAACCCGAAGCTATTTTACTGAATGTTTTACGAATTACAAAATAAAATACAGAAATTATGTAAAAATATCAAAATGTAATAAAGCGTGGACAACATTTTCTTTGCTAGCATAAAATAAAATGACCATAATATTTGCTTTCAAAACAATATCCCATGTATCGAGCATGTTGGATTCAATTAATCTAGTAATTTTGCTTGAAAGAATAGAATCCAGTTTCCTTTACGTAACCTCGTCCAGATCTGTATAATTCCAACTTCAAGTGAGATTTACTAATTCTTCTGTCAGGCTCTTTCAGTACGTTTTCTATGGTATTTAAATGATGATTCCGATTTGGTCATTATAAAAGTTGGACTTTTCTATAGCATAAAGACACTTTTTAAAGTTTTCCGCTGTGTTTGTGTTGTTATCTTTATCACAGGAAAGGGTGGATAGGGAAATTCGCATAATTTTTCCTCCACAAGATACCATTTTTCAATATATTTGTATACATACACTGCCAACTGTCCCAAACAGAGGTCCAACCTTCTTACTGGAAAACTCTATAGGTAGCAACATTGCCATCATCCTAATTAACAGCGAAATTGAACCGTGAATTATTTCTTTAGTTTTTCTAGCGCTGTACATATGCTATGCTCCCCGCTTTTAAAAATATCTTTCTGGCACTAAAATGAATTATGAACCATTCTCTTTTGGTACACTTTATGTGCTTGTTAGCAAGCTTTAATAAGCCCTTTCGATTTTCTTTACAGATACAAAAATTATAATTTATATATATATATATATATATATATATATATAAAGCAAATTATATGAATATAATACCACGGTTTCTTTCTTTAAGCATTAAATAACAATTGCCTGATTAAACTTAGCATGTTAAACTTTCTAAATCTCTGTGGGCAAAAGTTTTAGAAAATTATTTTTGAAAAATAATTCAGTAATGAATTTTAAGAGTTTTGATTCATGACACAGTTTGAATTCACCAGGCATATATATTGTACTTTTTCAATCTCCAGAAAGTTGTTTTCCCCATTTCCTTTCAGATTTCAACATTTTCTTACATTCCCTTCTAAATGGTGTAAACAACTATTGAGATAAAAATCCTCCACAATTTTACATAAAGGATAACTATATCCATTAATACGTTTATTTCTTCATAAGAAAATTGAATTTTCCGCATTTCATACAATATTAATCGTTAATCAAGCAATCACTTCAATGAAATTAAAATACATATCAATGATAGCTACAGATCTAAATGAAAATTTGGTAAAATGAAAATTTTGCAAATAAAGGCAGGACAGGACCCCAGGAGGTTATAAACAGTGATAACCTGAAGAAAGACAATAACATTAGATAAACAACATTTATCATAACTATTTTAAGTTACTTTATGCTCAATAAATTAAAACCTAAGATTGTTTTATTTTCAGAAAAGTAAATACAATCTAGTTTACATATCATACAGAGTAAAATACTCTCACTTATGTTTGCATTTGGGCAGTTCCTGTTTTTTAACAACTCATTCTTTTTTTTAAAATCCAGAACGACTGTTCCAAAGTATGTACTACAAAGCATATTTAAGCCTATTTAAGTCAAATGAGGACCAATTAGTTATTGAATTTTGGATTAACACATGCTTATATCTATTCCTATAATTTTATTACACCACAATTTTATTTTTGCACGTCGAAGGTATTTCATATGCTAAATTGCAGTTTCGTTGCTTTCTGTATTATTGAATGCATCTCAGTACTTCATTACAATATCATCAGAATATGCTATTCTTTCCAAAATATATTTTAAAAAAATCTTTTTTTTTTTTTTTTTTTGTGCTGTAATTTTGTTAAAAATTATATAAATGCAATTTTGAAAAGCATATAAATTTTTACCAGATTTGGTAATAAATTATTTTTAAATATAATCAAAAATAATCATTGAAGATGTAATGGCAAAAAATGAAACCTAAGTTAGCAAGAACAGTTGTAGAAAAAAATAATCGGCATTCTACTAAAAAATGCACTGAAGGCTGTCAATAAAGTATTGCTTCTTCGTTAGTATAACGGAACTGGTGAGAAATATTGGTAACTATCTTAAGTACGAAAAAGAACTAAGTATTAAAATTTCATACACTGCAAGCAACTAACAATATATGTGGCTTAAACTCAAACTTACTCAAATTTATACAAAAGCCATGTTGCTTTCAAATTTTTACTAAGAAACACATTACTTCCAGATCAGGTATAGAATGTTATTCTGTTATAAATTACATAAATATTAATAAAAATAAAAATGATTAAAAGCAGAAGAGCAGTACATGTGTTAGCTTGTAAAAATTAAAGCAATGATCTACTTCAGTGCAATATTCCTGTCAATTAATATTCTTGAAAATACTCCTTCCACCTTTTAAAAATTCAAAAACATAGTTTCATACTATACACATATATACATTCTCATTAACACAGAAACAGACATACATATATAGATATACTTCAAGTTGTACATATCTTAAAGGTAGAGTGTGAAATAATACTATATAATTGATTAATAATAATAAATAAGTTAAACATATATGGGTGTGTGTGCGTGCTAGGATAAGTGAACGCCCTTCTGTGAACTGTATGCACACAATGATGCAATAATTCTTTATTCTTCAAAAGAATATACCACTAACCATACATATTCATCAAGTATTAACACTATGAAAAAGTCTGATCACTTTTAAAATGTATTTTTTATATAATTTGTTCCGCACCAATACTTGGCTCTTTGTAAATATCTATACTTGATTAATGAATTTGAATTAAGACAAAATTTGTCACATACTGCAGTTTTACCCACATCAGCAAAATTTACAGTCACAAAGAATATTCATTTATTAATGATTCCTTGTTTTGAAGTCATAATAAATATGTGCATCAAATATGACTGAATATTTTTAGCTAAATTTATGTTTTTTATCAATCTTTTATATAAAAAATAAAAATTCTAATGCATAATTATTTCACAATACCAGAAGTCGTTGTTTTATATGAGCCTCCATTTGGGACTACTGTAGAAAAGTTTCTACAGAGATATGGAGAAGGACAAGCTTTGCTGAGCACTACTGTGTAAAATTTCAACAATTTTAATTCTAAACTACATAAATTCATACTGCTAATTAAGTATTATGCATTTCCAGATCTTTAATTCTGAAATTTACATCTAATGATAATACCACTTCGGACATCATTCTGAGCTTCATTTTGATTCTCAAGCATCTCAAACACTTCTTTTGTACAATGTAACAATTTTAAGAGACTCTAAATGTATATTTATTTCGAATCTAACAGTAGAAATAACAGGAAACTAATTTTAGTTACAAAAAGCACACATTTTCTAATTACCCTATTCAATAATGCTATTAACATTTAGTCATAAATTTAGGGCACATAATAATATACACAATTTAAAAACAAATAAGAGCACATAAATTTTAAAATAAGAAGAAATACATAAAACAAAAGAAACTATGCAGCACTCAGAAGGATGGAACGTGCCTTTTTTTAAAAAATTAAATAGAATTATTTGAAAAAAATGCTTCACACTTGCAACTCACAGGCAAACTAGATGATATACTAAAAACATTTAGAGTAATTTGTACAATTATACACAGATGAATATAACTATTACATGTATTCCTAACAATTTATAATGAAATCACATTTCATAATATCTCTTTACATCCATAGCTTAGCAAGAGATTATAGTACGTGCAATCATTTTTTACAAGAGCATTGCATTAAGCTGACATACTTAATTTCACTAGATGTGTTTCCTCATGCAAAAATATAAGGCACAACTGATGGGTGCATGTGGATTTATGTCCTGATGAATGTTTTAAATTTCAAATTATAATTCTTACTAGCAAGTTTAGAATAAAACAAACAAAAAATAAAATTAAAATTTAAGTTTCTTCAATGCAAAGAGTGTTAGGGGAGAAATGTAGAGGACATTGAAAGGAATATATTCAAAATATATACATTTTCAAGTGACTGTGTAATTATAATATGCAATCTTTTTTGAATATCTCACATTTGAATATAAATTACACGTACATTTAAAAGGGAGATAAAATACTTCAAAATACCTTTCCGAGCATAGTTAGATTCACCAATGGAATTTTAGGAAAGCTTGGATTTTATTTATGTATGGAATTATAATTGTGATATAGCTTTAATTATATGTACCTTGCTGAAACAAACACATTTCACAAATGATGCCAGAATACTCTTATACACTAGTACCAGAAACAATTTACAAAATGTTGGTGAATTATACATCAATCATATGTTGACTTATGAATGTACCATGTACAATAAAAGAACATGCCATTTAGTTTTAAGAGAGCATGCATATGTTAATAAAATTACATCAACACAGTAAACATTTATAGTAAAAATATAGTTAATAAAAGTAACTGTTATACAACTAATAAAAGTAAATATTGATCAGGAAATACAACATCACATAAGAATATCATTGTGGTATAAACACAAGTGCAATGAAATTTTTTACAAAATGCAGTTATTTAAATACAGTAAACATGACACGATATTTCTTAATATTTGAATAAGTGCGTAAAGGACGGATAGAGGTGCCAACAAGATTTAATTGAAATGCACAAACAATAGTAAATACTAGATTCATCTAGCAATTACAGACAGCAACAAAGTGCCATTTCACATTGTATTATGGTTTGAAAATTTTGTTCAATGGCACTTTAATATCTTGATTTAATAAATGAAAAAGCTCCAAAAATTTATTTACTTAATCAGTTCATAGTTCATTATACTGTCTAACAACAAGGATATCACAGCGCCATATGCTCTCACCTACACAGAATTTCAAAAAATTCAAACAAGCAGAAATTAACAAAACATTTAAAATTATAAACTTTTGATTATTGCTCAAACTTATAACACTAAACTATTAATATCTATACATATTCGCATGTAACAGTACAATTTATTAGGTTCTTGAAAAGTCACTAAAATATTAAAACTCATATTGGATAGAATTTTATAACAGTTTTATGCATAACTTCAAAGCTGTAAAATAATACAATAACTTCTTAGAATTTTTATAATTATCTAACTGTTTTCAAGTTTTATCCACAATGAAGAATGTGGCTTAGTAACATTAATATCACATGATTTCAGTTTAGCCCTTTGCAGACTAAATGTAGTAAATCTAATAGCATATATCAATGCAATAATGCTAATGTTAAGTTTGACTCAGCAGCATTTATTAGCACATAAAATTAATTTTTATCTCAATGTATTAATGTGCTTCCCCACGCTTTATTTGATAAGTGTGCAGTGTTTTCTTCTCTGTTGCTTAATTAATTTACATTTTTGCACCTATTAATTGTAACCATTAGATGAATTTGCTGAGTATTCATACAATCAGATCGGTTTATATCTTGTTTCTGAAAAGATTTCATACTAATAAATAATTTTTTTATTGTTTTTTTAAATTCATTTTGGTTCCATTACCTTTACCTATATTCAGAAATAATAGACAAAGAAAAAAATCTAAAATAGCAAGTTACTAAGCTACCAAGTTGATAATTAATTGAAATATTTAGATGGGAATGTTTTTACTTGTCAAGTAATAATATGAAATAAGCATTGAAGAAGATTATACATTAAAAAAATTACAACTTGATTTATGCGAGAACAACAGAGCTTAAATTGTGTTGATGCTTCTTAGTTTTAAGAATAAATCCTAATTCTAGCCAAAGCACACCGGAGCCCTAAAATAAGAAAGCTCCAGCACTTCTTTTATATAACTGGAACAACAATTTCAGTACAAATTTTATCTCGAAAATTTTATTTTTAGCCATAAAATTATATTAAAAATCACTTATTAAATTTTACTTTATCACTTTAAATTTAATTTAATCTCCAATTATATAATTATTTCAATAACTAAAAGTACATTTATTATTAAATTTAAATAATAATTGATTAATAAATAATAGTTAATTGCTATCAAATAATTAATAAATATTAATTAAACAATTTTAAATTCATTTGGTAATAATTAACTATTTAATTTGAAAATTATTAATGATTTTAATAGTCATTTTATTTATTTATTTACTCTCGTTCCTCTTTTCTGATGGTCTTTCATAGGGCTCCGGCACTACTAATTTTAGAAATTAAGCCCTGAAGAAAAATCTAGAACTGATTCAGTATCATCTTAAACAACAAGAAGCGACAATTTTGAGGTAGAAAATTAAAAACTTATGAACAAAAGAACTGTTGATTTTTTTTAAAAATTAATTTCACTCAGACAGTATGAAGTAATTTTATTATTATAATTGAAATTAATGAAATTACATGAAATAAGATTGGAAAATTTGGACGGCAAACGTTTATAATCTTTTCACATACAAAATGCTTTGATTTTTAAATTTATGCATTTAAAGTATGAATGAGTAAAATGCTATATATTAAGCAAACCATTTTCTTTTATTATTAAGCTAAAAATATAAAGAAAAATAAAGTCAAGGATTATTTTTTAAATTAAATATGTGACCTGAATATCCATTTAATAAAATAATGTTTAATTTTTATATAAATAACTAATATAGGAAGCTTTCTTTATTCATATTTGCTTCCTTATGTCAAAGAATTAATCATTTACTTTTTTTAACAGCAGCTTTACATAAAATCAAGGCATAAAATTTTTAGTTAATTTTGCACACAATTTTCAGAACTATTTTAAATATGGGTTCTACAACTATATCTTCTCTTGTAAATAAGTACTTTAAAACGTAAAATCTGGTCAGGAGATTAGTGTCATATTAAACGATAATTTTGAAAACTATATAAATGGATAAAACTGCTTTGCCTAGTTATCATTAAAAAGATATCAATATATAAAAAGAATCAGATATTTCATTAATGCTACCTAAATCTCATAAAAAATAATAAATCTAAATAAATCTCATCTAAATAATGAGAATGTATGCATTTTTGTATTTATTATTTTAAGCACTCAACAGATTATAACCGACAAATAAACAAAATTATTTATATCAAATAAGCACAAATAGTAGTTCTAATTTGTAGTAGCTGTAGATTTTTTTAACAACATACAGAATGTAATAAAGCAATAATATAAGTCATAATTTCATATACTGATTAGTTACACAGACCAAAAAAATAACTTTTGCTTGTTGAAAAACTTTAATAATCTGAAAAATTAATTTGTAATAAAATTTAGAAACGTAACTTTTCTGCTTCCCACGAAAAGTAAAACTGTAACAAAAACTGTGAGACAACAGACAAAAAAAATGTAAGGGACTTACATTTTTTTTTAATTTTATCCCTTACATTTTTTTACAGAGTTTCATAATGACAGGCTAAATATCTGTTTAAGCCCTTAATGTAATAACTTCATGGCTACAAAAATTCAGAGGAAAACTCTTCAGTTTAAAAAAATTACCTGTACAAATATAATAATAAATTATGTGAAAGCTTATGTAATTTCCTCAAAGTTTTCATTTTGACAAAACATGAAAGCATTAGTAGAGTATGAATTTTTAGTGATCCCTTATGATCTACTGCATTTTCAACTTAGGTTGTGTGTCACTGTGCAGTTGATAAAAGATAGAAACATATTTTGTTGCATTTGCCCAGAATCAAAACAAGTAAAATTTATAAATGTCTCAAGAGCATAACAATTTTTTTTACAAATACAATATCTTAGTTATAAATAGTTTTATCTAAAATAGAATTTTAGGACCATCAGCAAAATTTCTTCTAAACTTTAAATGGAGAAACTACAAATATTAAATGATTTTACTTTACATTCCAGCTTACATACACAAATGAATTAATAAATAAAAATATATTTCTAAATGCTTATATTTGTTATGAAAATCAAGTGAAAGAAACATAATTTGTAATTAATATGCAGAGCATAAAGTATGATTAAATGACAAAACTCTCAAACACTTATTCCAAAGCAATTACCAGTATACGCAGCCTAATCTGTCAGAGGCACTTTTTAAGTTTCTAAGAACATTACTCACATGTTATAAATATGTTACATTAATAGTTGAAAGCACATCCATGTGAAAACTTCATACTATTTAGCATGCATTTCTAACCTGACACCTGACTAGTAAAATGGATAAGAAGCATAGCACTAATTTTTGATCACAAAGACCCACTTTATTTCACACAAATTTATTTATGCACCCTATGCCAATCATTAACTTTATCAGAGTTTGTGAGTAATGCCTGAACTTCATACACATTTCATCACATAGTAGTTATTGCACTATAAGGTGTTTAAAGACATGTACATGAAAGACAATATGAGACACAATAGTGAGAAAAATACACTATTCATCCTACTTCACTGTCATCTGTTTCATCTCTTGCAGGCTGTCCAAAATTTCTTGTTATATTTTTTGACAGAACTCTAATATTTTCCATATGAGGATCTTCCAAATAGTCAAGATCTGCATCACTTGCATGTTCATGATGAAAGATATCATCATCACTCACAATTCCTGGCCTATAGTTGTCATACTCAGAATCATACATCACATTTAAACTGTCAACACTTAAAAGTTGGTCACTATCAAACATTCTACTGCTTGCTCTAGAAGATATACTTGTGTCATCAATGTCGCAGGGACCTGGATCATTGATAATCGAGTTCAGATCACTCAAAGCCCCTTCCGCATCAGTAAGTCCATGTTCATTCAGTAATGAGGCATTTTCTAGAGCAGGATCATCTGTGCAATAGTCATCTATTAGAGGTATTTCAGCTGATTTTTCATCATCACTATCATCACTATCTGTCAGCTCAATTGCAGCTCTGGGGGCTCTGATATCACCATTAGATCTTAATGCATTATTATTCTCTGAACAAAATGCTTCTTTGGCCTGATCCCTATGGTTTGAAATAGGTATATATTGATTACAATTATTCACAAATGCATAATTTAAATGCGGCTTAGCAACCTTTTTACTAGAAAGTTTGGAATCTCCTTTCTTAGCTGTATCTGAATTTTGGGAAGAGCTAAGACTATTCAGGCAACCTTTTCTAGAAACAGCCATTGAATCAGTTTGACCATAACTATTTTTTAATTTCAGAACAGAACCTCTATAAGTCTCATTTTGCGATGAATTAGCATCATCACTACCTCTTGCATAATCTGATGAATCTGATAACTTGTTAGGGCTTGCACAGTTGTTTTCATGAGTGTAAGTACTTTTCATTTCAACTGGAATGTTATGGACAAACTGAAGAGCATTTGGTTCCTGCATATGCTTATTATGATCAGTGGCATTTTCTTCAGATGAGGAGATTGTCTTCAATATGCCGTTATTTTTGTCTTTTACATATGCAGTACCACCTAACTCAGTACGGTTTCGAGCATCTGATGAACATCTAGCTTCAGAAGTTGTTGGTGAATATGAAAATGTTGATTTACTGTCATGTTTGCATTTATCATTCTTGTTTACAGAGTGTTTCAACAAAGCTGGAAATTCAGACTGTTGAGAAATACCAGTTTCTTCCATGGTATTACCTTGAGGAAAATTTGCAACTGAATCTGATTCAATACCGTGTAAATGAGAATTATCTACTTCACAATCTGAAGTACATTTCTCATTTACTTTTGCTCCCCTTTTTTCTAACTCTTTAATATAACCATTAGAATCGGTTGATTTATGACTAAGAATACGATGTGAAGGTGACAGACCAACTTCTGGAAGTCCTTGTTTACATTCAGTCAAATTATTATAAGGAGAACTCTGCTGACATATTTCTGGTGCTAAAACATTTTTTTCAGGATATACCCATTGGATACTATTATTATAATCATAAAATGCAGGTGAGGGAGTATCTACATCAGTACGAGAAAAATCAGTGCGAATATAGCTATCGCATGATGATGTGGAAGAACGATTTAGAGATGATGTATCCACAGAATTATTTCGATCTTGACCTATAAGACTGTCATGACTCCCACTAGCAGCAAAACTTGCATCACTCTCCACTGCAGTGGTAACAGATTCTGCATCATTTGGAGGACTATGAGATGGAAAGTACAGCATTTCTTCAGGTGGAGTAAGTGTTGCAGGAGATTTATTAACTGAGTTAGTCCTTGGATGTGTATACATTTTGGATGGCCTATATACTTTACTCGTGTATGGATTTATACTAGTATTCATCTTTTGTAATCTGTCTTGTAAATCATCTTTCAGTTCTGACAGTGAATTAAATGTTTTTGTAGAGTCCCTATTTGAATTAATTGTGCAATGATTATGACGCGGACGGGACTGCGAATAAGATTTTGCAGGAGCATTTCCAATAATAGGTTTTGGTTGGTTATATAATGCAGAGTTGTTTTCAAAGGGAGTACTGGATTGCTGATTATGAGGTTGCCAAGGAGGTAGCTGCATTGATGGAAGCCTTGGACTGCTTGTGGAAAGAATTTCCCCTACTACTTCTGCTTGATATGTATGAGCCTTCTTCCTCTGAATACTAGTTATACCTTCATTACCAGAGTTACACTGTCCAGATGAATGCTTAACATTTGAAGTAGGTGAAGTTTCTTTCCGATCTACATTAGCATTTTGATTTTCCATTTTCAAAGCAGTAGATTCTTCATTTGGCATTATATCACCATCCTGTTTTCTTCCCAGAAGAAAGTATGTAGTCATATCCCCTTTGCCCTTAACTTTTACGATGCCTCTACATTGAAATACATAGCCATCTTTCAAAAGGGTATACACATCCTCAGTTACCTAAAAATTACAACTAAATTGAAAAAAAATGACTAATAATAACATAAAAGTAGAAAAAGCAGTATGATCCATGCAACAATAGGAATTTTAAAAGATTAAATTAAAACATTCCAGTTATTAATTATGAATTAGTGATTTCCTTAATTCTAATTAGTCAGATTTATTTGAATAAAGAATCAACAATGAAAATAAAATACTTTTTTAAAATTTTAAAGTCATTATTTAAGCAATAAGCAAAAGAAATGATAAAAGGACAAGAATGTATTATGAAAGTTTTATAACTGATACTTAACAATTAATTTTTTCTTAATTTAATTAATGCATGGGTTCTTAGATTACTTAAACTGCACTGCTCACTACCTCCTAATCATGAGACTGCTTCCTACTTTTTTCATTCTTGTAGTTAGCTAATTCAGTTTCTGAAATAGTTATATTTTAATTTCTAGTAGGTTAATTTTTATTAGTTAGCACTCACATAAGAGCTTTTGCCATCTTATATATTTCTTCAAAAGTTATGCATGTATCTTAGAATTTTAGTGAACACGTAAACAGTAAATATAAAATTAAGATATTAAAAAATAAAAATAAAATTTATAAGGTATTTTTTCCTCCTTTTTGCATGGGTTTCTGGCGTAATTGGAAGCATACTCGACACGTATTCGAAAGGTCCATGCACACTTTTCATGTCTCCTAATTCAAAATAACCTAATAACTCTACAAGTGTCGCCGGGAATAAAATGTGGTGGACGATAAATCGTCAATACCAAGATTGACGATTGGGTCTCCTTACCCCCAGTCGCCCTTTAAAAGGGGGAGCATTTATGGTATTTTCTCCCTGCTTTCCACATGCCTCTATCGTGTAATTTAAATCGGACACGAAAAGCAGCCTTAGTTGGGGGGGGGGCTGAGCAGATGGACATGTGTCTGATTGCCCTCAAAATCGGTAAAGTTTTATTCAAAACCTAACCCAAACTAAAACTGATTTTTTTTTTTTTTTGCCTAATTTTAATTAAATTAAGTTGGAAAACTGAAACTTCGTTTAGATAATTCATTAGATAATTAGATAATTTAGATAATTCATGGAACTGATATGAAGAAATTTCTAAGGATGAAGCTTTCAATAACCGTGATTGAAATCATATAAATTATTTACCTCAAGCATAATATTCATTCAGAAAATAATAGACATCACTTAGGACCATAAAACGGAAAGAACTATAACTAATGTATCATTCCCATCCAAATGAGAAAGAATCTGTTGAAAGAAAAATTAGTAAGACAAAACTCCAATAAATGCAAAAGCAAAAATTTGCCTGTTGGAAAGGTAGGTAAACAATGGATGCAGCCTGCCTGCAAGCAGCATCATTCAATTGAATGCTTGCTGTACAGAAGAAAAACTGACAAAAGAATAGTTTTAAGCAAACATTTTTAAGATACAAAAGTTTCAAAGCTATTTTTAACTAAATACTTTTAATTATATGAAATTCTATATTTTGTTCTGAATTTCTGATATTGCATTTATTTTCTTGCAGTTTTAATTATGACATATATTTGCCTTTGGAGTTTAAATAGTCTGTCATAATAATATTTTTAATAGCTCAAAGATGATTTTCAGAACATAAACAAAGTTTACACCTTGTATGTTATGTATATTGAATGCTTTTAACATGCATCTCATTTGTAACAGAGAAAGAACTATGGTGTCACATACACATACAATTCCACGATATTGCAAGAATTCTTTAATACTATGTAACAAATTTATTAGGAAGTAAAAAACATTTAAAAGATGAAGAAACATTGCATGAAAAGTAAATTAATAAAAATCTGTAGTTTATCATATCCAGTTATTTTTAAAAGACATGAAAACGATAGCAATAATGCAAAGAAATGGTATTTTAACTAACTTTAAAGAATTTTAAAGTCCTATATAAAATATATGTACGTAAAAAAGTTCTTAAATACATGTAACATTTTGGGAAACCTGAATGTTTGTTTATAGCAGCAAAATTAAACGAAATAAAATACAAAATCTGAAAATAGCAAACTGCTCAGGTATTTTAATGATTGTCAAATTAATGCATGTGTTTATTTACAGTCAGTCAAGAGAAATGAAAGAAATAAAATTAGTTGAGCAATCTGAATAGTCTTATGATCACCTGAATATGATTTGGAAGTCCTGTACTGTCCATTCGACTGGCAACATTCACTGTATTACCCCAAATATCATACTGAGGTTTACTTGCTCCAATCACCCCAGCAACAACAGGCCCAATATTCAAACCTACAAAATTAATTTGCATGTTACAGAATCTGGATATTATATCTGGATGTATTTCATTTTGAACATGATTACAAAATAAATTTTTAACTCAATTTATTACACAAATTATTGTTTTCGTTTAATAACATTGATTGCCTATATGCAATTAACTAAATTGACAGTAATTAAAAAAATAAACATAAACATATTACAATAACAATACTTAATTCACATTTAAAGAATGATTTTTTAGACACTTGTTCCCAATTTTGAAATATTTAAGCCAGAAGATAATAAACAGATTTTCACCTAAAGAAGATAAAATAAGTAGGCCAAATATCAATCATAAGTAGTAAACTATTTAATCAATAAACTAAAAACAACTGAAGCAAAAACCTGGGAAACAAAAAAGTAAATTAATGCAAAAATAAAACAATAATCATTAAATATAGAATAATAAATAACAGTTGAAAATTCCTTCGTCTTTGTCAAGAGCTGCCAAAAGAATTATAAATAAAGCCAAGTTTCTGAATTATTTCTGGAAGAATTGCAAAGAAATTCTTTCATAAATTTAAAAGAAAAGCAATTAAATGTGAATATTGTAGGGTTTATATTTATTTTAACTAACATTTATTTTAAGCTATCTTTCCTGTCAAGCCTTTACTTTCCCCTAGAATTGCCAATGCCAGATTATGTAAATTGTAGTAGAACGCGCAGTATATTCAAATTTTAGCAGAAGTAAGTTGAGTTTAAATAGAAGGGAAACGAGTTTGTATGTGTGCTTCTTGAATCGCGAGCGTAAAGGTTGCTAGGTAGAAATTTAAGAACCGCGCGTTTCGGCCTGTGTGCCTATTTCGACAGTTCATTGAATCTTCAACTGTTTAATCAGTAAGCTTGCTGAATCTCAGCTGTATCTTAGAACGCGGTTAAGTTAGTTACGATTTTAGAGCCTCGTAGGTAGTGATCTCGTTATTTATTCATCCTGTCATTTATTTTTAGTTTCACATTTCTGTTTTGTTAAACCGCCGGGTCGGCGTAGTTTGTGAGCGTCAAGTGAACGCAGCTGTTATTTCTAAAGTGGAATAAAAAGGGATTTAAACCCTTCTTACGAGTTTGTGTAATTTACAGTTCATAGCAGTCACTACCACTGTTGCTGACAAGTTGGGGCCTCGCAACACTATAATATATTTATATGAAATTGTAAAGATAAACACCAAGATTTAATCTGCTGCAATTTGGCTCGAATTGATATATATATATATATATAAGAAAGTCAATAAATCAAAATTTTGAAATTAGAGGAAGATTGCTTTAATTAAAAAAATTATGACTTAGAGTACCAAAGGGATAGAGTGCACAAATTACTAAGAATAAGACAAACAGAAAAATCAAAGTTACAGAAAAGGCAAAATTGCTTAAGCTCTATAAATTTGGAAATAATAAAAATACAAAAGTGAAAAGTAAAAGACAGGAAGTAAATTTTTAAGAAGAAAAGTAAATTTTTAAAAATTAAAAAAATTAAATTTCAATTTAGGTTTTAAAAAATAGCCAAAAGTAAATCCAATATGGGAGAACAAAATATGGCGCCAGAAAAAAAAAAGAAACATTGCTGAAAAACAAAGTGAAAGTTTTTGGTACTTGTAATCAATATACAAGCTATGAAAACGTTTACTTAACATAACTAGGTTATTAAATTTATTTATCTATATATTAAAGGCTACTTTTACCAATTTTTTTTTAAACTATGATTCTCTCTCTCATTTTGTAATCTTTTCTTGAAATAGATACCCTAGCTTTCGGACTTTTAATTATAATAAACCAAGATAAGTACCAAAAATCAAGAATATAAAACATCAAAATGTATTAAGAAAATATCAACTTAATAAAGAACGAAAAATCATAAAAATAAATAAATAAAATGAACTTTAAAGCAATGATAAGAAATGTTGGATGTGCTATATTTATTTCTTCCTACTTTCCTCTGCATGACATTACCAGCAATTTAAATTTAAGAATATTTTAATAGATTTTTAATCATTTTAATTTAAGAATTTAAAATTTTCACTAAATGAAATGTAAAATAAAAGTAACATTCTTCAGTTTAACTACTTCCGCACATTTTGAATTATTCTGACGCATTATAATTAAAGGATTTCACTACTTAAAAAGCATGCATTTAAATGTTTGTTCTCCAAAACATGTATGGTAAAACACAAGATTTTCTTCCCTAAATATCTGAGTGTTCATTTATAGAACAGTTTCATCTTCAGACCAACTTCAAGGAATACGACAATCCGGTCAGTGAGTGTCATTGGCAGCAAACGTAACGAACGGTCACGATACCAAGTGTCCTTCAGCCCTTTCGTGAGAGTATGGACAAACACAGAGGCCTGTATTGTCAGTACCGGCCATATCCGGATAGCGGATTTCGATGCAGTTTTTGCTGTATGTGCGTGTGGGGTGTTGTGAAGGCCTCTTTACTGGTCTGCCAATAAAGTCTTGATCTTGGCCTTTACATACTCGAGCCCTCTCTGTCCACTGGTCCCAAAAGCTCCTCACAGTAAAATCAGTAAAGGCTATTCGCCGAACGGAACACCAGGCTTCCACCATCCCGATATTTCTTCCCCTCTCGAACTGTGATAGCTGATCATTTGTCTTCGAAGCAGTGTAACGGTATCCTTGGTGAAAAAGCGTCCCTCTGCAACAGATGAAGTTCAGGCAAAATGCCTTTGCGTAGCATTTTTATGCGCCAGGGAGAACGAAGTTTATGGCCCTCTGATGGCATTACGCAACGCGCAGTCACGCAGTATTTCTAACATTTTCATATCTGCGTGCTAAGTTTCGTTAAGATTCGACGACCACATCTTGGTAAGCACATTTTATAGCCAACGAGTATATTTTGTGCATAAAATGTTCAGGATATCTGAAAGATGAAAACAGTGTCTCTGGTCTCAAGGTGAATTTCTCTTTTCGAGAGAGATTAACCCTGCTATTGTTAGTGATAAACATTTTAAGGAAAGGTAAAAAGAAATAAAAATCTGTGGAGTTGATAGTTTTGTAAATACCTTTCCCAACCAAATAGTATCTGCCCTTCAACGAAGATAAAGGGTCAAATAGTTCAGATTGGATTTAGATCCATTTATGATCGTAAAGCACGCAACGGCTTTTCACCTAAGATGTAGGATTCTTGGAGTCCTTTGTAAGGGAAAATAGCCCGAATTTAGGTTACATAATGAAAAACATGAAAATACAATTCAGCCGGCTTCTTCCAAAGCCTAATTACCCCGTGTTTCAGGTTCCGTGCACTTTGTAGGTCTCAATTTGTTGGCATGCCGGCACCCTAATTTTGAGGACGTTTAGTTGGCGTAAAGTAGTAATAGAAGATTTATGAGCAAACTAGATTGCGATCCATTGGTAAAAAAAGCATGCTACGATATTATTTTAAAATAGAATTCAGATGATCTTTGGGAAAACATAACCAACCCTTCAGTGTACGGAAGTTAGTGGAACTAAGACAGCTGGTCATTTTGCACAAAGATAACTTTGAGAATAATTTTTCTCGAAATTGCTCTTCTGGCCGGCTTACAAAGCTTTCAACTAGATAATGTATTTTGAGTGATCTGTGGCATCATTTGCCATTTACCCATTCTCCGAGATACCAATATGTTCACTCCGATAGCGACTCCATAGATAGTGGTCTCCAAAATGGGGCGCGCGTATCCAATGGGATAAGCAAAGGCGTATTTTGGGGTGCACCAAAGAAGTAGGCTCACAATCACTTGCGAGTTGTATGATTGCGTATCACGTGAGAGCAAGGTTCTCTCATTGGTCGCTGTGTCTGGTTTCACAACGTCTAGGAAGCTCCACATCATCAATGAAGACCCAGGGGTAAAACCATTTATGTCCATTTTTTGCGAAAATTGAAGTAATAAAGCCATCTAGTAGGCAATAGGAATAGCTTTTACTATGAATCGCTTCAGAAGAAAAAGTATTCACGTTCATAACTCTAACCAAGGAGAGAGTTTGCATACCGGGAAAAAGAAATTTTTGTTCACACGCCAAGAGAGAAGAAACATTTATGTCCAACTTCGTTTATCGGGCTATTCAAGTTCGTTCTTCTCTTTTCTAACTATGGCCTATTGATTTTGTCCATCAGTTCTTCAGCAGCGCTTATGAACATGGAAAATGAAGATTTCAGTGCAGGCTCCGACAGACAGGCGACAGTGCAGGCCGAGTTTTCTGCCACGAAGAGGATGAAAACAGGAAGAATCTGCGATGTTATGAAAATTTAAGAGCAATCACATGTGAGTTAGAACATATCTGCAAATGCAAGCATTTTAAATGTTTTTCTTCGATTTGTGATAGTATTTAAAAAAAAGAATTTTCAAAGCTTTTACTGAACTTTGGAGTTATAAACACAAAATCATTATCTCGCTTCCTATCACGGCATTACAAAAAAAAAAAAAAAAAAAGAGTTCAAAACATAAGACATAAGATAAGCTATGGATGTTGATGGGAAAGCACCAGTAAACAGCAAAGGAAAACATACTATTCTTCAGCAAACTATTTCTAAAATAATCCAGTTTATGAGTTCCGTCAAAGGCAGAAAGTCTCATTAAGCTTTAACCCTTTGACGCGCGGTGGTCGCGCCCTGAAAGCACCAATTTTTGATTTTTTTTTTCTCCTCTTTCTTCGGAAATTTATGAGTGAAAATAAATTGATTACTGATCTTTGATCTCTAAATAACACAAAATGACTACAGAATCATACATGTTTTAGGTCTTAGTACTTCAAATCGGATGCCTTTTAAAATTCGTTTTCAATGAGACAAAATAACTTACTTTTATTAATATAAACAACTTTAAATTTCAAAAGTTATTCATCGCACATCATGATTTCTATCATAAACAATAAAAAATAGCAATAATTAAACTGCATATATATAAAAAACCCTCTATATGTATGGCATTTGCTTTGTGGTTTCAGGGCGCGACCACTACCCCACTAGAGCATTGTGTCAC